ATATTAAAATGAAAGTTGCATGTTATGTTTCTTCTTATGTTTAGATTTGCATGCAAAAGAGTCATTCAAGTAATCTTGATCGAGCTATCTTGGGAAGTGATTCGAGTTTTGAGTTTATAAAAATTAACTAAAACGACTCAAAAAAATGCAATAATATAAAAATTTATATTTTTTTAAAACTTTTAATTATATATTTCAAAAAGGGTATTATGGACAAACCACATGTAATAAAATTTTGCTAAATCCAACCAATTAGAATAAAATAAGAATAAAATTAGAATTAAAATAACGACCAATTAAATAAATAGATAAATAGATTAATAAATAAATAAAATGGAAATGGAAACAAAAGGTCACGTCGGTCCTCTCTCCACCTCGTAGCCCAAAGCCTGGGTTAACCCATCATCCACTCTGTCTTCTTCGTCTTCTCTCTTTCTTTCTCTCTCTTCTTTCTCTCTCTTCTCTGTGGCTGTTCAGTTCGAGAAAAAACGGGAATTCGGTGGATCCACTTTTCTCTTTCGTCTTCCTAAAGGTTAAATTCTGTATCTCATTTTCTAGGGTTACTTTTTCTCCCCTTTTTCTGTTAATTCATTCAATTCCAATCAATGCCTCTGTAACACTGCTTTCTGTTTTAGAAGTTTCTTGAGTCTTTGCTGTTTTCTATCTTTGGAGGATTTTTGGTAATTTGCACGTAGGGGTGCTGTTTGATGAATCCTTGATTTGTTTCTGTGACCTATTTAGAATTGAAATTTGAGTGGGGATTTTGAAGTGTTGTTAATTGTTTTTACTTGTATCAACTTTGGAATATGTGTTTTAGCTTTCTTTTCCTGCTCTGTGTTTGTTTTTTTTTTTTTTTATAATGAATTTGTGCTTGTTCTGTACTGTTGTGGCTTGAATTCAGTTTGTGGGATTTGTACGTTTATCCGTCTTTATGATGTTGGGCGTTTTATTGGATGAATTTGGAGTGATTGGTTTGTTCAACTTCATTGGATTCTGATACTTTATTAGCTTTACCACTTCTTTGATTTTGTAAATTTTGATCAATTTGATGCTAAATATTAAAATTTGTCTTTATGTTTCATTCATTTACCTCAAAATTTAGCTCAATCTCAATATTGATCTTGATGTATTTAGTGTCAGCTCGTTGCTCAAAGTCCTAGAAGCATCACTTCTCTATATTGGTGTAAAAATTTGGTTCTTGTTTATAGTTATGGGTTAAATTCTCTCATATCTACTGGAGGAATCTTTTGTGATCTCTTTGGATGGGTATCACCTTTTGTATCATATCAATGAAATTGTTTCCTATACAAAATTATAAAATCATTGATATGTATGAGCTATAGGGTTATGTTCGTGCCAAGGAAGATCACGAAAAGATAAAAAAAGACTAGTTAGTAGTTAAGAGTGGAGCAGATGAAAATATGAAGTGTTTGATCTCTGGATTTTCTGTTGTGATTGTCATTTATGCATAAACTATAGAACTTGTTGATGGTTATATTTGGGTGGTAGGTATGGGTTCTTGACCGATAGTTATATTCGAGTTTTATGAACTTATTATGTAACAGTCCAAGCCCATTGCTAGCAAATATTGTCTTCTTTGAGCTTTCCTTCCTGGGCTTCCCCTCAAGGTTTTACAACGTATCTACTAGGGAGAGGTTTTCACACCCTTATAAGGAATGTTTTGTTCCCCTCTCCAACCGATGTGGGATCTCACAATCCACCCCCGTTGAGGGCCCAATGTCCTTGCTGGGACACTTCCTGGTGTCTAGCTCTGATATCATTTGTAACGGCCCAAGCCCACCGCTAGCAGATATTGTCCACTTTGGGCTTTCCCTTGTAGGCTCCCCCTCAAGGTTTTAAAACGCGTCTATTAGGGAGAGATTTTCACACTCTTATAAGGAATGTTTCGTTCCCTTCTCCAACTGATGTGGGATCTCACACATTAGTTTACTTAAGCTTGGCTTATGATGTATGGTTTGGTTCTTTCTAATGCTTTTTCATGTTGTATCAGTTGCTTCTGATGACTACACATCTTATTCACTCGTTGAAGTTGATTTAGTCTTATATATATATTGCAAAAGTTAGACATTATGCTGAGATAGCATTTTGGTGCTTGAGGAGTTTCAGGGATAAGTCTCAGCTTTCTTCTGCTAATATACTTCTATAGAGAGTAGGAGAAGAGAGGATGTCGAGTGGGCAGAACACCCATTGGTGTTATAGATGCAGAAGGTCGATACGTCTTTGTGGTCGAGATGCAGTTTGCCCCAACTGTAATGGAGGATTCATTCAAGAACTCGACGACATGGTGCCTGGAAACCCGTTTGATTTCTTTGGTCTGGATCATGACGAAGACCGTGATCATGGGCTGGGAGCGTTCTCTGCTTTTATGAGACAACGGTTAGCTGAAAGAAACGACATGAGGGGAAGAGCAGAGTCACTTTTCGAGCGTAACCCAGGATTTGGCCCTCTATTAATATTTGGTGGTCAAATTCCTTTGAGAAACCGTAGGCTAGAAGCTCTCTTCAATGGGGCTCCTGGCATTGGAATTACACGGGGTGATGGTGGTGACTACTTCATAGGCCCTGGACTGGAGGAGCTATTCGAACAGCTTTCGGAAAATGGTCATCGTGGTCCTCCACCGGCATCTAGATCATTGATTGACGCTATGCCAACGGTTAAGATCACGCAGCGACATCTTCGCTCAGATTCACATTGTCCAGTTTGCAAAGAAAAATTTGAACTGGGATCAGAAGCAAGGCAGATGGCCTGTAATCACATGTACCACTCAGATTGTATAGTTCCATGGCTGGTTCAGCACAACTCTTGCCCTGTCTGCCGCCAGGAACTGCCACCACAGGTAATGGGGGGCGCGGGCCATAACACCAACAGTCAAAACCGAAACAACAGCTACAACAACAATGGCAATGGCTCCTCCAGGGTTAATCCAGGAAGGCGGAATCCATTCTCTTATCTGTGGCCATTTCGGTCATCGAATTCTAGCTCCAACCATGGCGGAGCAGGGAGCAGTGAATCGAGGAACCACCAGATGGGGTATTCGGGATAATCGATACACTAGCTTTTCACCATGAATTGAGATTTGAAGATTGTTTGTAGTAAAAATGGATGAATTTTGTCTCTTAAATACATGGAGGCTCCAGCTTTGTTTGAAGAAGATACACAGGGTATTGTATTTTTTGTGAAAAATTTCCTTTGTAAATGACCTTTAATTTGTAGCTGCTTATTGCTTATGTTGTTTTTCCTTCATTTTTCCAAGTTGAAAAGAAGACGCATAAATTAATATCAAATGGGGGAAAGTGTTTCACTGCCTCGTGTTGGAGTGCTTTACATTTATATATTTTTTAGATTTTTTTCCCCTTCTTTACTGTCTTGTCTCATAAGCACTCTTGACACACTCACAAAATTTTCTTTTCTCGAGTTCTTTGTTGACTTGGACACACAAAGTGTGACTCTCATATCAATTGTCATGATCGTACTTCTTCAATCGTGCGGCGTCGTGGTCTTGACACGCTCACGACAAAGTCGTAAGGGGAACGAAAGTCATCTGGCTCGACCTTGCCTCTACTCTAAGCCAAGGTCTCTCGTAAACAACGTCGCATCTCATCTTCATCTTGGTTCTTAACAACACGACCTCATGCACCATAATGCCATTCCATGTCTCGAGACAGCTCGGACTTCTTGGCTTGCTTGGACACATCCGACGGAGACTGACCATGCATTAAAAGACATTTTTCAAAGGAAGATGTCCAAGATGCTTATCATGCAACGCTCGCCCACACTTCGATACACGTATGTGCCACAAGGTAGCTCGCTTAGGTCACAGAGCCTAGGGGCGCTGGAGAGCTAACACCATGTCTCACTCTACAGTACATTTTGAGGCATTTTCAATCCTCCTCAAGTAGACGACATTTTCGTGAGCGGTCATACGGACTCGTGCATTATCCTTCAAGTATTCGATTGACACCAAATTTTTTCATGTTTCATATTGATAGACTTAACTTCAGAGCTACATGCCGAAACTCATATCGAAACCCTGATTTCTGATGTTATTGCCCGAGGCCCTACCTTGCCCTCTTCAAGTTTGTCTTCGACATTTGTATCACTTCATTCTCACAAATCTTGCATATGCCTCGACTTAGCTTGAATGCACACCCTTAGTGTGTTAGATGATACACCGTCTTTCTTGGCTGCATCATGACACTTCTCAATCTTAATCCTCACGTGGCTGGATGGGTCTCACGTAAGGGTTGCCCCTTGTCTCTCTGGTGTGTGGGGGTCACAACCTACTTTCTCTCAATGAGGTTGTGACACTAGGCACCTGGTGGTGGGTTGGCGATTGATTGGGACACACTGGCTAGGTTGAGCATTCGCGTGGGCTAGGTGTCAACCAGAGGTGGAACATTCAAGTGGGCATCCAAAGCTGTGACAAGTTCAAACGACTGGGGTCTAGAGGTTAAGGTTCAGATTCTCGTCCGAATTCTAAGCTTGAGATCTAGATTAGAAGCTAGTTTTGACCGGATTTAGTCTCCTTGTTCCTCTTATGTGATTTTCTCTCTTCTTGCTTCTCTTTGCCATTGACTTTGACCACTTTTAATCGATTCTCGACCCTTATTGAGGACGAATCCATGACGGAATTCCTAAAACACAAATCAATTTCGGTATTATTTTCCTAATGCCAAATTGGGAGAATTGTAAAGGGATCGAGATAGATCGATATCGATGTCAACAGAAAAGTTTGAAAATCGATTTACCATAATGGCCTCTAATTGGATCTATGTAACGCCAGGGGCTTTTATAAAGGCAATTGGATCGACTTCGACGTTTTGAGAGAAAAATTCTTACTATAGATGGGGTTCTAGGAGGAATCAATTGAGGATTTGGGAGGAGGCGTGTCACGGATCGCCAAATCCGCTGCCAAGAAACGGCTATCGTGAGTGACAAAGGCACATCTTAAATGAAATTGGCATACTCTAATTACCACAAATGTATGAATTCTTCTACCACTAATAATTAATCAATGTGATTAATATATTTGCTAATTTTTTTGTTTTGCTTCTTTCTTCTCACTTCGCGGCTACTCTGTCCGGCTTTGCTGTGGCTGCAAACTCCGTCTCGTCCTCCTCCCGTCACCGTCTCCTCCGGCGTACTCTCCGGTGTTTCACCAGCTCACTCACTCATGGGTGGCGATCTACGCTTTGAAATCTCACAAAATGCCTACATAAAGCTCGTTCTCCACGCCCTAAAGCACCGGACCTCCGCCGTCAACGGAGTCCTCCTAGGTCGCATCTCCGGCTCCAATGATGTCATCGAAATTGCCGAATCTGTCCCCCTCTTCCATTCCAGCATCGGCCTCCTCCCCCAGCTTGAAATCTCTCTCCTTCTGGTACTCATTTTCATCACTTCTGCGGGGAATTTCTTGTTTAGGTTTGAGTGAACTAGTTGCTCATGCGAGAATTTGTTGTGTTTGATGCCGTTTTTACTGCCTTTTCACTTGCGTGTTTGAGATCTATAATTGATGAAGTCGTGGCATGATTGATTTGGAATCAGATTGAAGAATATTATGCGGCTAAGGGATTGAGTATCGTGGGGTATTTTCATGCTAACGAGCGTTTTGATGATTATGATGTTGTTGGTGTCGCGAAGAATATTGCTGATCATATTTCTCGATCCTTTCCTCATGCTGCTCTTCTTTTGGTAAGATATGTCTTATTGTACTTTAACTGTAGTGATTTGTATATTTTGTTGCTTGATTCTTGCTTCTCTGCAGTTAGATCACAGAAAACTTGAAGCTTTGCCGAAGAGAAAGGATAGAAGCCCTGTAGTGGAGGTCAGTATGTCGCTATAGAATTCTTATCATGGTTTTGTTAATTGTATTTGCGTGCTTCCTTAGAATTTCCTTATTGAATGTCCGCCATAGTTTCCTCTTTTTAGTCTGTTTCAAACTGATTCAGGTGAGTGATGTTAAATGGCCAAAATGAAAATTCTGAAGTGAGATTGATGCTGATATAGCACATTGTTCTCTGGGACCAACAGCTTTGTTCAGTTTTTGTAGGGCAGTGGAACATCGTAAAAATAACTCTCTTACATCATGGATAATTCTTTCATTTACTGGGGGGAGGTTCTTATAGTTTTCCCAATTAATTGATCTAATACGACGAAAATGTCGCAAGAAATGTATGAGTCTTTAGACAATTTCTGTAACAGCCCAAGTTCACCGCTAGTAGATATTATCCTATTTGAGCTTTCCCTTCTGAGTTTTCTCTCAAGGTTTTAAAATGCGTCTACTAGAGAGAGGTTTCCACACCCTTATAAGGAATGCTTTGTTCCCCTCTCCAACCGACATGGGATCTCACAATTTCTTAGTTACTTTCCATTGGTGGAGACTTGATATCATTATCTCTGCTTATGCTATTTGAAATATAAAAAGAAATGTATGTTGGAGCCCTTCTCTGATTTTCTGTCCTGTTTATCTTTAAATTCCAGCAAGTAACTACCCGTGAATTTATTGAACTTTCTTACCCCTTTTTAATGTTGTTTGAAAATTTGGTTAGCTTGTATGTTTTCTGCATTGGAATGGATAAAGTATGTGGGGTTTGTTTTAAGGAGGTGAGAGTTTGATAGAGTCAATTGGAGGGCAATCTTCAATTTTCCTTAATGTCGGAGCTGCTCCAGTTTTAGATGTAGAATTGAACATAAGATGCTCTGCTTGGAATTTCAGGATGGATCTTGGAGAAACATCATTTGATCATTAGAAATTTTTTGCCCAATTAAATAGTGACCCATTACACTCCTTTATTTAGTTTGCCCCTCAGCCACCAGAGTTTATGCATAACGTTTTATATCAAGGGAGAATCTTAGGTCCTATATTGTAGGAGGCACATTTGTGATGAGGAGGCAGCGGGATATGTTTCTTTTTTCTTTATCTCTTGATTTTTGGGGGCTTCTTGGACCCTAAATAAATGATCAGAAAGTGGTTGCTTGAAGCTATGGGGGGTTTTCTATTGTAGATCTTTTTATAATTTTTTTGAGAAAGGGTCCAAATCTTACCCATCAATAAGATTGACTTAATTTTGAAGTTAAAGATCTCAAAGAAGTTCATTGTGCAAACAGTGATTGATAGAGTGCTGTAATGGAAGCAAATACAATATCCATATGTATTGTGAACCAGTTAAAAACACCTGGATGTTCTCCTTTAATTCTTTTTCCTTTTCAACCCTTAATATGAAACTCTAGCCCATTGGATCTAAGAACCCTTGTGGATGTGCAAACCCCTAGATCACAAATGCTAAAACCCTAATTAAGATAATTTCATCCCAAATGATGGTATTTCTTGAGAATTCAATCTAACAACCTTTAAATCTAAAATATTCAAGAACCCCAAAACGATAAGGAATCACCCCAAGGAAAAATAAGATTTAGAATACCTTGTTGATCAAATATCTCATAGAAAAAAAAAAATTGTTTGAGATTCGAATCACTCCACAAGCATGATTAGATAAATCATGTTAAACTTGAATGATTTTAAGCATGCACCTAAAATGAAACTTTTGCCCTTAGAATGATTCTAGCCAATTGAAACTAAATAGAATTGCGAAGATATTTAGCTCTAGGTTAAAAGAAAGCACAAATGTTTTTTGTACTGTATTTTCAAAGTCAATTTTGCAAAGACAACATACATGGTTTTATATAGTCTCAAAATGAAACTTTTGTCATTCCATATGGCATTTCAAGAGTTGTAAACTTCCTGCATATGACCGTAATCAGTCACTAGATAACGTAGATAACGGTAACCTAAAAAATAAATAAAAAATCTTAAAACTGAAAATATATTAATGAAACACCATAAATCTAGATTTCAATCATTCATCAAGAATCTGTAACCGTCTAAGAATAAATAAATTCCCACTTGAAGTATTTTGAAGCTCTCGTTGCATAAATGGAGCTCGATTCTTCTTAATGTGACATCAATTCTTACTTGAGTTCAACTTTAATGAAAGTTGACTTCACTTAGTTTGACTTGAATTTATCTTGTGGTAATCTGAACAATATTCTTCACAACTTCCTTGAAGTTCATATTGTATGATTGAGATCTCTAGGTTTATACCACTCCTAGTTGCCACTTTTGGTTCTAAATGGTAGCCAACCCTCGTAAATGGAAGCTTAGGGTCTTTTGAATGATTTAGTCATTCCCTTTTAAAATATATATATGTATATATATATATATATATATATATATATGTATATATATATATATATATATATATATATATATATATAATATACTTTGGCTAGTTGGAGGTCCTTGTATTGGTTATTATCTCGTAAACCATGGTTCAGGTTGGATGTTAGACCATCAATTTGCCCTCTCCCAACGTACATGTTTCCTTATTGGTTGATATTTGGCCTCAGAAGTGCGGAAGATCACTTGTTGAACCTTTTTTCTTTTTCAAAGGTATGCGTTAGTTGGAGGAGGTAACTATTATATGTTATCTTATTGGTCAAAAGTATTAATTTTGAGTTGAACTCCAGCGTTCATAGTAATCTGGATGTGTGGCACAATCTCACCATAATTAAGACATACATCCTTCACCAAAAGTAAGTGGTTTGAGTTTTCGACACCACATGTGGTTGAACTCAACAGATAAATCTAAATATGTTAGTCAGCTCAAACCCTGGTAGTTGTTTAACATAAAAGATAAAAAGATCTCAACGTAGTCAAATTCGTTACTAAAATTATGATGGTAAGTGTTGTTGTCAGTGGAAATTTACTTATTCTGGGATTTTGAGTGTTTTGTTTGCCAGCATCGATCCTGGTTGCTTCGTGTTCCAGTCGCTTTCCTTTTTTTTTTTTTTTTTTTTTAATATCTCCCAAGCAATTATTATTTGTTCTATCTAATGTCAAACTTGAGGTCTAAAATTACTGAGTTGTGTTGTATAAAACTTCTCTAGTATTTAGATAGTATCAAGATATTATTTCATTTTTCAAATGACTGTAGTTTCTGATGAACGATTATTCATTATCTTGGCTATCTTTTGCTGCCACTCTGTCACCTTAGGAACCCTTTTAAACTATAGGCCTTGTCTATATTGCTAGTTTCACCATGAAATAAAGTAGACCTTAAGCATGAGGAGATTGCTGCAAAATGCGTTTCTTCACCATTTCGTTTGTTTCGTCTCCGATCAGCTATACACAAGGGAAACCTCCAAGAATTGGAAGTTGGCAGGATCAGATGGAAGTAGCCAGCTAACAATGAAGGAACCGTCAGCAAACGTGGTCATGTTGGATTTCATATCATCTGAAAAATGGCAAGATGTGGTGGATTTCGACGATCACCTCGACGACATTAGCAAGTACGATACACAATGTTCCTTCTCTTTTTGAATATTCCATCAATCATGAATGAGCAACAGTTAAACTTTTTTGTCTTAAACCTTGAAAATTTGCAGGGATTGGTTGAACCCAAACCTGTTCAAGTAGAAGATCTTTTCCCGTAGTTGCAAGGCGTGATTGCTCTAGAAAGGATTAGTTGGAAACTGGAGGCTTGTGCTTTTCAAGGTTTGAGCATGTTAATGGTTGAATTTTATTTTGTTAGACTTGAATTACTTGTCGTTGATTCGAATAAAAGCTCAGTCTTGAAATTGAAATTGAAGTCCTGTTTCTTTTAGTGTTTTAAATTGGGGGCGGATATTTAAGGAATTGTTTGGATGTATGCTAACATATTGCCATTTTTGGTTGAATTCTAGGTAACTTTTATCTTAATAAAGGTAAATTTCTCTATTTTTTAAATTAGGGTTCAATTTGTAGGCAAAAGAAAAAGTAAAAAGTGGCACTTGTAATAATGTTGATACCTACGAAGGTAATGAACCACAAAAAGTAAAAAAGTTAAATGTTATCAGCTCATCATATCCGTTGTCTGCTGTACATGATTTTGCGATTTCCCTCCAACTTCCTTGACCAAGTCGAGTCGCCGCATCTACTACCATCCACCATTCATGTTCGCCAAATTGTCACGATTGTTGAAGCCACGGTCAGCCTATTTAGGGTCAATTGGTGGAGCTTGGGTGATATGACAACTAAGACCAAGGATTTTTCATACCTCAAGGTCCAGTTACATGGATGAGAGTGAGAGTCGAGAAGTCACAACGAGCTTTAGTCACTTGTATTCAGGTTATGATGAACTCGTGAAAAGAAAGTCTTAAAAATGTTAAAGTTCTTCCTTACATGCTTTGCATATTTGAGCTATGATTAACTCCAATTCGTTCTTACGTCGCCTATGGCCAAACGATGTAAGCTTGAGCCTCTGGCCCCGGTTCAAGAAGAAAGTTTTAGAAAACGGGAGTAGAGAGATTTCGAAAGAAAGTTTTGAAAGTAAGATTTGAAAGATTGAAATTGGTGTTATATGTGATACAAGCAAAAAGGCAACAACAACGGCTTACAACATATAACTATCGCGTAGGAAGAAGTTGACAATCTTTTATTTCATTGAAGACATCACATTTTGAATCGAAAAGAAAAGAGTTTATGCTTTAATTGTGTTGAAAGCTAGGTTTTTTTTTTTACTTTGCAAAGCTTTGCGTTTAGAACTTGTATGCTAGAGTTGTTCAAATGGTTGATCAAATGTTTTATGGAATTATTCGAATCGCAAGTTTCAAAAAAAATTTCTTTACTCTTGATCTTGATCATTAATGTAATCCGTTTCAAAACTTTTTCTTGAGTTGATTCTTATCGTTTCTAGGTTCATGGGTAATTTAGATCTAAATATCTTGTTATTCAACAATGTTTTTAGATCAAATTTCAAGAGTTTCATAACACTTGAATATGGTTCAAGGCATTTTAGGTCAATTTTTACGAGGTCTTCTTACTGTTGGGGGAGTTGATTCTTGAATCTTTTAAGTTCAATTCATATATAAGGTTGCAGGTAAAAATGGATTCCGCTAGGGTTGCGTCTAAGTGACAGTTAGCTAACGGTAACATAGGATCATTGGATTAAGCTCATTGAAGTAAGTAAACTTACGGTTGGACGTCTATAGATTTGGTTGGATAAATTTTTTGATGTATGAATAACACATACCATTATATTTTAAAATTCGAGCTATTGAATTGGAGGATAATGCGATGAATGAATGTTCATGTATGATTAGTCACGATTATTTTTATTATTTTATGGTTAATAGTCTCACGAGATATTAGCATTATGCTATGCATGGATATGTTTATTATTGTACCATATCACCCAATGATGATTTAAATAGTGAAACCTTATACTTGTGTTGGTGTTCATCTAGGCATGGATTACTTTTACAGTGATGCACCGTATGGACGTATACATTTACAATATTTTATTTGAACCAAACATAAATTTTTCATCAAACTTATGGGTAATCTTATTTAGAAGGTCTGGAACAAATTTGAAGTCAAATGGTGGACTATGTCTCTCGAATTTGAAAGAAATCTGAGTAAAAAATTCAAAATCTCAAAGGTTATAACTTGTGATTGAAGGCTTGACTACGCTCGATTGTTACTCCAAATGAAAGCCCCTATTTCAGACTTTATAGAGGGAGCTTAAACTGACATTAAAATTTCTAAAATCGTTGTGATTTGGAGTTTGAGTTTTCTAGAACTTCCATCGGAAATGTTCTCTCCTATCAGCAAGAAACCAACCTCCATTTTGAATTCTGGTCGTTGGATTTGACGACGAATGTCTTCTCTATAACATACTCGGATTTGGTGAAGATCCAACGGTTGAAAATGAAGGTATGGTGGATTTTCTGCGGATCCTCATTGTCTCTGATCTAATTTTTGATATGTGACATTTTCGTAATTTGTCAAAGTTCAAGGGTATTTTGGTAATTTGTTATTTTTTAAATATTTTTTTTTAAAAAATATTTATCCTTTGTTGGTAAATTTTCATTTGTTGAACACCTTAAAATTCTTTGCAGATAAAGAATTAAAAATCTAGGAAATTTCTTAAAAATTAAAAAATGTCATTTTTGCCCTTCATGCTTGTCTTTTCCGTTCGGATCCTTTTCCAAGGGCCTTAAATCCCTATAGTTATGTTGAAATGACTTGCTTAAGCCCATTGTCCTTGCTTGAATACTTTAATTCCTTTCTTTGGATCCTTTATGCCTTACGTAAGCCGCTTAATCTTATTTGAGTTACTTTAACCTTACTTCGGGTATTACAATAGTTGTCAACTAAAACACAGCATCACCCCAGACTTGACAAACATTGAGTGATATGTGTTCGAATTTTCAGAAAATCTATACATTGTTGTTCCTCCCCACATGTTGTGGTTGGAACCAACTCATATTAGGTCAAAGTCGGTCTTTGGTGTATAGGAAAAGATATGACATATTTATACCGTCCAAATTCAAGTCTTATAATGCATATTGTATGTGTATTGATTATGTGTGCACGCATGTCTAACCCCGTTAGAGATTTGATAAATAATCAACATTTTTCAAGCAACGACAAGAACGTACGAAACGTGTGACAAGATGTTCACTAATCGGGTCATGGAGTTCAGGTCAACACGAATTTTTTTTCTTTATTGTAGGTGTCGAGTTCGATTTGGATTGAAGTTGGATTTTCATGATTGGAGTAATTTTTCCAAAAAAAAGTGGTAGAAGTCAAGTGGTTATACAATAAGCTTGCATCATTCATTTAAATTAAGAAGGGTAAAAATGACATTTTGTAAAGAGAAAAAGGCAAAATTTGATAAATAGACCAAAATAGAGCTTATCCAAAGTATGCGAGGGGCTGCCGGAGAAAACACCATGGCTTTTCTTCTCTTCTCCAATCCCGTCTCCACCTCTCTCCATTCATCTCTATTTCCGCCGTCGCCGTCATGTTTTCCGATGACCTCCGCCGCCCAAAGTATGCGTATCTTTCTCTTCCCCTCCCGGATTTCCCTTCCCGCCTCTTTGTTCGATGCGATCGAACGAATGCTTTTGTCTAATTCTGCATCTTCATTTCTCTTTATACTTCATTTTTTTTCTGCGTGTTAATGCAAATGACGAGTTTCGTTTTCACGAACACGAAGACTTGTTTTATGTACTTGAAGGAATTGTTTGTAGTCATTTGTTTGTCAGGCATTTTGTCAAGCAGTTAGTATCTGTGTTAAAGGCTTTTGATTTTACGCTATTTAGTTGATGTGCACTGAATTTCTATTTCCTGAATGTGTTTTTATTTTCTGTAACTTGTGTTTTAAATTCTGAATGCTCTGCTTCTTGTTCATCGCAATCAATTTTATGTGATTACGGTTGAGGATTGTTCGAAGTGAGTCCCATGTCGGCTAATTAAGGGAATGATCATGGATTTATAAGTAGAGAATACACCTCCATTGGTATGACACTTTTTGAGGAAACCCAAAGTAAATCCCTCAAAGTGGACAATATCATACCATTGTGGAGACTAGTAATTTCTAACATGGTATCGGGATCATTTTCTTAACTTAACCATGTCAATAGAATCCTCAAATGTCGAACAAAGAAGTTGAGACCCTCAAAAGTGTAGTCAAAGTGACTCAACTGTCGAACAAATGGTGTATTTTGTTCGAGGACTTCAGAGAAGGGAGTTGAGCCTTAATTAAGGGGAGACTGTTCGAGGGCTCTATAGGTCTCAGAAGAGACTCTATGGCGTTTTGGAAAAGTCTAAAGCGAAACCATGAAACTTTATGTTTAAAGTAGACAATATCATACCATTGCGGAGAGTCGTGATTTTTATAATACTCCAAATTATTAATTTTATGTTTCTGATTCTTCTTTGAACTTTAAAGCTATATCATATACCAAAAGAAAAAATTAGATACAAAATTCAATATCACCTCAATCTTTGGCTTTAATTTGAATGACTGTTCCCCTCCTTTTTTATAATGTATCTTGGCTCAATTTCCTCTACTTTGCTGTTTAAATTTCAGGTTCCATGTTGCTCATGAAGCCTAATGTGTTTCAGCCAAAATATTTCAATGGATTTGGTCTTCGAAACCCCTCCTTTGTTGAAAATAGATCGTCATTGATTGTGAAAGCTGCGTCTGAGATTGATGCTACGGTAGAAACAGACAGTAGTGAACCACAGCCCCCTGCAGTTCCCGTTGACAAACTTCCATTAGAATCAAAGCTGCAAGAGAGGGAGGAGCAGAAGGCAAGGATGAAGCTAGCAAAGAAGATAAGGCTTCGGAGGAAGCGGCTTGTTCAGAAGCGCCATTTGAGGAAGAAGGGACGATGGCCTCCTTCAAAGATGAAGAAATTGAAGAATGTTTGATAACCAGGCTCCTTCGGCTATTGCAGGTTTAGAGCTTTACCCACTTCTCATTGCTTCTAATATGTTCGTTCTTGCTGATAGATGAACACGACTCTCCACAATGGTATGTTCGTTCTTGCTGATAGATGAACACGACTCTCCACAATGGTATGATATTGTCCAATTTGAGTATAAGCTCTCATGGTTTTGCTTTGGGCTTCCCCAAAGAGCCTCAAATCAATGAAGATAGTATTTTTTTTTATGATAAACCCATGATCATTCCTTAAATTAGTCGATGTGGGACTTTCATCCAACACTCGCCTTCTTTTTATATCGGAAAGAATTGAGTGAGTGATAGGAATTCAAAATGTTGAGTTGCAAGATATTCTGTACAGTTTTCAATAGACAAAGCCAATTTCTTAGGAATTTAGACACATGAAATTGGTTCAGAAGACTGTTTTAGTCCTTTGTTTCTCAGTTCTTTTTCAAATAGAATGATGAGGCAGGTCGAGTCAATTCCCCATCAAAGAAAAGAGTTTGAGCTCGGCGTGCCTATTTTGACGTGTGGCTTACACGTTGAATAGAGGTGAAAGTTGGGTGGACACCTAAGTAAACATAGAGTTTTGGTTTTGATGCCAAATCTTAGTTTAAATCCTTAACATATTCTAATGGCATTGTAACTTTGTATAATCCATTTAAATTATGACATAAGCGCCCTTATCAAATTTCATGTCATTTAGAAGTCACTTGGGTCATAAGTCCGTGGTATGTAATTATAGGGACATTTCAGTCATGTTAAGAAATCCAACATTAAATTACTCCAACATTTAGTTCATAGTGCACTATTGAAATATATTCGTGTACGGGTATCATAAAAATTAACATGGAACTTCTAATTGGTTTATAAACAATTTTTACATTTTTAATTATCGTGAATTCTCCCTCAAACCAATTTTAAATCATGGTTTCCTAAAATTTAAGATATCTCGAAAATCTCATATTGCACTTCTATCTCTATAAATACCGGTAAAACATTGACCACGATCGTAATGCCTCATCTAAACTGTGTCTCGTTACTTTTAAATCACTTCATAACTTTAATACTTGCGATTGTTCTCAAAATCGCTTTAAAACTTTCCAATAAAATTTAAGGCAACGAGGTTTTCTACAGCTCATAGCTTCCGTTCAATGCACTTATGTCGTTCATAAATTAGTTTAAATGTGTAGTGTTTCAACTTTTATGGTATTATCTCATAAATTTTTTTGTTGATATCGATATTTTAATTTCATATTTACATATTTTGTAGTGAAGAAATTTTCTCTCGACACTATCACTTTTAATATCTATAGCAGACTATAAGATATTGTTGTCCATCAAGCTTCGTGGGTCATTTTCATTTGAAACTACTTATTTGTCAATATACATTGGTACATTCCTTTTCATCTCTATGGTTATAACACTACGTATTTTAACTATGCTTGAGACGTATAACTGAAACATCGAACCTTCCTTAGGAAAATCATTTTCATGCATATATAGTGTTTAGCAGCTTACTAAGCTATAACTCCCCATTCACGTTACAAACTTTGCTAAATCTAAACATCATCAATGCACCAATTAACATTCACACGGACACATAACATAACGAAACACCATCGTTTATTATATTTTGTAAGGTATACCTAACAGAAATGGAGCATAAGTGGTGGAACCATGGAACGACTGAATCTACTTCATAGGCTAGTCTACAGAATATATAACCTAGAGCTCTGATAATGTTCTATATTAACCTAGCTTTTAGGTGTTCATTCAATTATGTAATAGTTTAAAGGGATTATACAAAGTTATAAAGGCATTGGTACAGGTTAAGAATTTAAACCAAGATTTGAGGTGATAAATGACCAAAATACCCCTATGAGATTCCTAAGAAGTTTTCAAAATCCTAGCAGACTCAAAATACTACGGAAATTTATACGTGACTCATTTATGATATTGAGCGCAAGTATGCAACATCTTAACGGGATTAGAACAACTTTAGGATATGAACCAAGAGGAAAAGTACAAAACTACCCCTCAAGACATTTTATAAGAAATCAAATTATTTTATGAATACCAAGTGCCAAGACGCTTATGAAAGATTTATGCATGTGAATAAATATTTATGACTCATATGGATTAGGATGTACTTGTTAGGAATTTTGTCTTAGTTGTGCTTCAAGACGTAACAAAAAAAAACTCTTAGAACTAGAACCCGAGATATCCTAAAGACCTCCCGATGTATAGTGCAACATGGTCCTATGACACAGACTACGTCCCAAGGAACGCATGAAGCCCTGGGCATGGGTACTTAGACTATGTCGCAGGGAATGCATGAAGCCCTAGACATAGGTCCGCAGATTGTATCGTAGGGAACACATGAAGCATTGGATGCAAGTATTAGACTATGTCGTGGGACCACATGAAGCCTCGAACATAGGTCAGGATTGAGTTGTTCATTGAGCATAGAACTCCACAGATCTCTTAAGGGGGAGTGTCTAAGGGATAAGAATTCAAAACTCCTTACCAAGGCCCTCGTTACAAAACTAGGTACCAAAAGGGATTAACCCTAAAAAAATGTTAAAAGAAGGGAACAAGTCACCTTGAGGGAAGTGGGAAAGTTGAGAATTAAGGTTGAATCGAGCATTTAAGGTTTTCCAGCATTAGTATTGACACTCTCGTTTTCTATTGAATGCATTAGTTTTGATTGTAAGAGGATATGATCCGGTCATGTGACTATTTATTGAATATAAGGAATTGATCAAGGTAGCAACGAACAAGATGTACACTTTTAGAAACAAAGGTTATCTCAAGTATACGAGCCAAGAAAGACAATTTTTCAAAGATTTCTTTTAAGTTTCAATGCGGTAGTTATGAGTGATTTTGAGGTCTTTTATGATTTATGACATTATGTTTACCGTGATGTATTGATGACCCTTTCCATTCGTGGTGTTCGGCAATGAGCTCGTTAGCAGTGTTGGTCCGATAAGTCTAGGTCAAAGGGGAGCGCGAGCCTACCTAATGGATCCATGCTCACACACGTGGGTCTTGTGTAGAGAAGTACTGCACATTCAACCTTGCTTAGATGAGAAAGTTGCCTAAGGTCATGATATGCTATGATAAAAGGATAGGTCTCGTTGCATGTGCATGCAGTCCCTAACCTCAATAGTGATGATTGTGACGCTACGTTGACTTTATGTTTGAGTCATAGTCATAAAGACTTTATAAAGAAGATTCAACCATAAGAAGAGTTGGAGCAAATAGATTAAAGATCCGTAAGAATATCCTCGATATTATTTCAATGCAAGCTTGTTTAACATTTAATTTTAGTTAATTCTATATAAAATCAAAGTCGATTCTAATATTATTTGCGTGAATGAAACGTTCATTCTTAATAATTCGATTATTCATATAGATGTTCTCTCTGATTCTATTTATAATCCTCAACAATATAGCTATTACAAGATCTAAACTAAATTGAGAAAATGAATATGAATTTATAATCTATGTTCAATTAAAAAAAATATATATAATAATTATAATCGATTTTTATAGTTATAAATATTAGAATTACATCCCCTATTTAATGAAATTTTTATAAATAATCTCTATTATACAAACTATTTATACAATTTGGTCGATGGTCATACAAATTAAATTTATCGACAAAATTTTGTAGTTAAATCTAGTATGTTAAAAATGAAATTCGGACTTAATTCTAATCACTACGGCATCATTTTTAGTCACAATTGTTGGATGATGGAAGTCCACCGCTAATTTAGGGAATGATCATGGGTTTACAAGTGAGGAATACTAAGGCCTCCATTGGTTTGAGGCCTTTTGGGAAAGCCCAAAGCAAAGCCTTATGCTCAAAGTGGACAATATCATACCTACCATTGTGGAGAGTCGTGTTCGTGTAACAACAATATAATCGGAAGGGTCATATTCCAAAAATAATGATATGTTTATAGATAAATGACAGATTTTGGAGTTTATTTATTATTTTTTTTTTTAAAGAATTTGGCAAGAAATTTATAGAATATGCCATGAACTCGTTAAAAAGGATTAAATTTGCAGTTGAAGGCTCCATTAAGTTTTGACGAAGGAATTTAAACCTATTTGTTGAGTACACAGTAAACCGATCGTGTAATCCTTCCAAGTTTTTTTTTTTCTTTTTCTTTTGGCGGATTATTATACTGTTTCGTTTTGAAGCGCTTTTGTGGTGGCTGCTATGTTTGATTGCTATCAACGGCATGTCAAGTTCTTCCCTGTTTTGCGTCTACCTTCAGTATCATTGAACTGTTTGTTTCTTTAGCTTGTTATTCAGAATTTGAATTCTTGATTTCTTCCATCTGGGTATTCGATGTCCTCTGGATTAATGTTTTTCCGTCTAGTGCTGAATCGTTTCTACTGTTCAGTGGTTGGAATTTCATCCAATTCTCTTATTGCTCGGTATTCTCGACTGGGTCAAATCGAGAAAGCTCGGGCTGTGTTCGATGAAATGCGTGACAAAAGCATTGTGTCATGGAACTCCATTGTTGCTGGGTACTTTCACAACAATCGGCCTCAGGAAGCCCAGAACATGTTTGATAAAATGTCTGAGAGAAATACTGTATCTTGGAACAGCTTGATTTCTGGGTATATTAAGAATGGGATGATCAATGAAGCTCGGAAAGTGTTTGATAAAATGCCTGAGAGGAATGTTGTTTCTTGGACTGCAATGGTTAGGGGGTATGCGAAGGAGGGTATGATTTCTGAGGCAGAGGCACTTTTTTGGCAAATGCCTGAAAGGAATGTAGTGTCTTGGACGGTGATGTTGGAGGGGCTTATTCAAGAAGGTCGGATTGATGAGGCTTGTAGGCTTTTTGATATGATGCCGGAGAAGGATGTGGTGGCTAGAACTAGTATGATTGGAGGGTATTGCCAAGCAGGACGTTTAGCTGAAGCTCGTAGGCTTTTCGATGAGATGCCTCGTCGGAATGTTGTGTCATGGACTATGATGATCACTGGATATGTACATAACCAGCAAGTGGATATTGCTAGAAAGCTGTTTGAAGTTATGCCTGAGAAAAATGAAGTGTCATGGACTGCTATGCTGATGGGCTACACCAATTGTGGGCGGCTTGATGAGGCTTCAGAGCTTTTTAATTCAATGCCAATTAAGCCTCTTGTTGCTTGTAATGCAATGATTCTTGGTTTTGGGCAGAATGGGGAAGTTCCAAGAGCAAGACAAGTGTTTGATCAAATGAGAGAAAAGAATGAAGGAACATGGAGTGCTATGATTAAAGTGTATGAAAGGAAAGGCCTTGAGTTAGAAGCACTACAGTTGTTTTGTATGATGCAAAGAGAAGGAATAAGGCCAAACTTTCCTTCTTTGATCAGTGTTCTTTCAGTTTGTGCTAGCTTAGCCACTCTCGATCATGGTCGAGAGATACACGCACAGCTGGTGAGATCCCAGTTTGACCTCGACGTCTATGTTGCCTCCGTTCTTCTCACGATGTATGTAAAATGTGGCAATCTGGTGAAGGCAAAACAAATATTTGATAAGTTTGCAACTAAGGATGTTGTCATGTGGAACTCTATTATTACAGGATATGCCCAACATGGTCTAGGGGAGGAAGCATTACAAGTTTTCCATGATATGCATTTTTCACGTGTCGTGCCCGACGATATCACATTTATAGGAGTTCTTTCAGCATGTAGTTACACTGGCAATGTGAAAAAGGGCTTAGAAATTTTCAACTCCATGGAAATGAAGTATCAAGTGGAACAAAAAATTGAACACTATGCATGCATGGTTGATTTGCTTGGTCGAGCGGGTAAGCTAAACGAGGCGATGGATTTAATTGAAAACATGCCGATGGAAGCGGATGCTATTATTTGGGGGTCTTTATTAGGTGCTTGTAGAACCCACATGAGATTGGATTTGGCTGAAGTTGCAGCCAAGAAGCTTCTACAGCTTGAGCCTAAGAATGCAGGGCCTTACATTTTGTTGTCAAATATTTATGCATCTCAAGGTCGATGGAACGATGTTGCCAAGTTGCGAAGAACTATGAGAGATAGAAGTGTGAGCAAGTCCCCAGGCTGTAGCTGGATTGATGTGGATAAGAAAGTACACATGTTTACAGGAGGTGAGAGCTCTGGACATCCTGAGCATTCAGAGATCATGAGAACATTAGAGTGGTTATCTGGATTGCTAAGAGAGGAAGGATATTACCCGGATCGAAGTTTCGTGCTACACGACGTCGATGAAGAAGAGAAAGTGCAAAGCTTGGGATATCATAGTGAGAAACTGGCTGTGGCTTATGGACTTCTTAAACTACCAAAAGGGATGCCGATTCGTGTAATGAAGAATCTTCGTGTTTGTGGGGATTGCCACACTGCTATTAAACTTATTGCAAAGGTTACAGGAAGAGAGATCATCTTGAGAGATGCCAATCGGTTCCATCATTTTAAGGATGGCTCGTGTTCGTGTCGGGATTATTGGTGATATCGAATGTGTTATTGTATCGAGTTTGAATTTATGCATCCAAATTTTCCCATGAGTTCGAGATTGAAGTTCAGTAAATGACTAATGGCCAACGTCATATACCTATATATCTTGTTGATTTGGGAACCGCAATCATTTCTGCTGGGGAAAAATGGAAATCAACGATCATTTTGGAACAAGTTGTCTGATTCATCATCCAAGTGAGTAAACTTCAACTACTTCATTTCATTGTTATAAAAGTTGAAGAAGTGGTATGTAACAACCAAAACCTAAAATCTAAATCCACTACTAGTAGATATTGTTCTCTTCGGACTTTCCCTCAAGATTTTTTTGAAACGTATCTGCTAGGGAGAGGTTTCCGCATCCTTATAAAGGATGCTTCGTTCTCCTCCCCAACCGATATGGGCTCTCACAATCCACTCCCTTCGGGGCCCAGCGTCCTCGTTGGCACTCGTTTCCTTCTCCAATCGATGTGAGAACTCCCAATCCACCTCCTTTAGGGCCAATGTCCTTGTTGGCACATCGTCTCGTGTCCACCTCCTTCGGGGCTCAGCCTCCTCGTTGGCACATCGCCCGATGTCTGGCTCTGTACCATTTGTAACAGTCCAAGCCCACCGCCAGTAGATATTATTCTCTTTAGGCTTTCCCTCAAGATTTTTTTTAAAAACACGTCTACTAAGGAGAGGTTTCCACACCCTTATAAAGGATGCTTCGTTCTCCTCCCCAACCGATGTGCGATCTCACATGCTCTCTTTCAGTGATATTAATATTTTATAGGGTGCAGCAATTATAAACGAACGAACAGCTTCTACCGTAGAATGTCAAACGTTTGTTGCAACTAGTCATCAAGCCAACAATACAATTTAAGACTGAGACTTTACGGAGAAATTCTAGTTTAAGGGGAACTAACATCCCTCTTTATATCTATCAATAGGCTAAGTTACAACCTGACTTGTATTAAATCCCCCATTGATATGAGATAATTGTGGATTGGGGTACTAGACGTCTTCCAAAACGCAATGCTATTACATTGAAACCATCTTATTTCAATTCTTCTCCACATTCATACCAAATGATCTTAAGCAAATTGTAGTTAAATGGTGTTGCCCATCTGAATGAAACCTTCAAATACTTTCTTTATTCTTCTGCTCGATCCAGTACGTGACGTTTTCTTCTTTTGGCCCTGTTTCTTGCCTTCTGGATTTTCAGTCCTCAGCTTCAGTTTCGGCCAGAAGACGTTTCGAGTCCATTTTTGTAGGTGGTCATTACTGTAAGCAGAATTGAATCCATGGAGATCCTCCTTGGACAGCCACATTGTGATATGAGCACAGTATATGCGTTGGTTGTTCTGTATCGTCTCTGAAAGAACATTTCTACATGTGCCAACAACTTGTGTAAGCCTATAAACATCCTCGTTTCATTATGGTGTTCTTGAATGTCCTCTTTTAATCCTTAAACTTTCATCTCAAATATTTGTACTACTTTTATCTCTTGGTTGTGCCTAAGCATTTGTTTTTGTCTCAAATTTCATGCTTTCAGGTTAGCTGGAGTGAGACAAGACACAAAATTTGGAGAATCCCTTGTTTGCAATGGAGACGAGGACGTGATAATTGCAGTTCTTCTCTTCTAGATTCATACCAATCATGGTCGTAAGCATTCTTATGTAAAAATATTTCTCAATCTTGAGGTCTTCTCGAGAGAGATTCCAAAATTTGGTCACAAATTATTTTAGTCCTCGAACTTTCATGAAAGTAACAATTTAATTATTGAACTTTAGAATATATCAATTTAGTCGTTATACCCTAGTCCGGACATTTTCATCCCAATTAAATTTTTATGTTTATTTTGCATAATCTAAGTTTTATATATTTATATATTCCTATTCTTTCATTTTTCATGTTTGATATATGGTACAATTTTGAATAAGCTTTAATTATCTCTAAATGGGGGGCATTTTAGTCTTTTGGTAAAATTTGATTAATACTTGAATATTCTTTGACCATTCATTCACTAACAAAGTCAATAGGACCATTCACTCCTCTGATGCCTAGCAGTGGTTGTGTTGCTTGTGCAGCCATGGTATCTTTATTAGGTCCTCTCTCTTATCTTGCTTGCTCCTATTCTTGATATTCTATCGATGCATATCTACCAGGTTTAGAGCGGTAGCATGGTCACTTAAAGTGTGGGCCACTACTGACCTCAACGCAATTTAGTGATGCGTTGTTCAAAAGAAAGTTTTATCTTAGTAAACTGATACAAGAAATTGTTCTGCCCATTGCTTTGATACCTAGGATCGCACAACAACGTACACATTCGATCTAGATGAACACAAAGAATAAGAGAATGCACACACTTTGAACACAAAGAACAAGAGAGAGAAAATGCAACGTCTTTGTTGATGACTTGAGGAGAGATAATACAAATTTAACCAATATTCTCCCTCGTATTTTCTTTCTCCTATTATTTGTGTTCTATTTAAATCGAGTGTGTTGTTGTACAATCCGAATAAAGTACTCGTACTCGAATATGTGTAATATTGTTTGATTGAAACTAGTTTTGGAAGGGTAGTTAATTGATTGGTGTAAATTTGTGCAAAAATAAGATGATTGGATGGCTACCCATACGTCTTCTGAATCCTCCATTTGTTGTGTCTCACATGCATTATTGTATTCTACAAAAAAAAAATAATAATAATAATAAATTAATTAATTAATGTTGATATTAAAAATAAAAGTTGCATATCTGGTTTAATTTAAATGTTTTTTTTAGTAAAGAAAGTTTTGTACATAATATTACGTCTTTAAATGGTTTCCAATAATAATTTAAAGTTAAAAGTTTCAACCCAAGATCAAAAAGTAAGATTTCAATTCTGTAGTCGGTATTGTCTTCTTTAGGCTTTATTCCTTTCGATCTTTCCTCAAAGTTTCTAAAATGCGTCTACTAATCCTTTCGGTCTTTCCTTAATTTCTAAAACGCATCTACTAGGAAGAGGTTTCCACACATTTATAAAAAAATGTTTCGTTCTCCTCGCCAACCGACGTGGAATCTCACAATATTTGCTTACGGTGGACATGGACCATTACAAATGGTATTAGAGCCAGACGCGAAGAGATGTGCTAGTGAAGAGGCTGAGTTTTGAAGTGGGGTGGACACGAGACAATGTGCTAACAAGAATACTGGCCTCAAATGAGGTGAAATTTAAGATTTTAAGTAGAGAGAAGAAAAAAACATTTTTTAGAAGAGTATGAAAATCTCTCCTTGTCTACCAAATCTTGAGCAGAAACCAATAAAGAAAAATTAAAAGAGAACACCCAAACGTCTTAAACATTTTTATTTAAACAATAAGGAATTGGATATATTCCAATCCATAGCACAAGATTTGTAAAAGAAAAGGAATGTCGACCATAAAATCCCAAGAAAAGAAAACAATCTGACTGATTCAAGGTGATATCACAAACGGATGATCATTCAATCGGTGAATCGAGCGCAGCCGGTGATGGCAGTGCAGCCACGGCGATAAGGGTTGATCCTCCTTCGCTTCCTGCAGTCATAGTAAGAGCTGCCACGACGGCCGCACGGTATATTGTTAAACGTAAGCGCCTCATAGCTTAAATACCTTCTACGATACATCTTGTTTGTCCTGTCGTATCCGTATTGGAAAAGTAGCCGTCGACCATCTTCTGTCAACTGTGCTGGTGCATATCCGCCGAAGAAGGCATAGTCAGGGGCGGCGTAGGAATATGGAGGGGCGGCGGCGACAACCATGAGGAGGAGACATAGGCAGAGCTTCATGAATCCCATTTTGGTTTGTGAAAATGCGTGGAAAAACTCGGGTTTTTATTTTGGTTTTGGCGTAGTTAGGCAAATATTTTAAAACTGTGCGAGTATGGTAATGGATTAGGCTACTTTAGAGAGTAAAAATTATCCTCACAAATCGATCGGAGTTTTTTTTAGCTTCACCCGCCAGTTCGATAGAAAAATTTTCAAACGATCACCCAAAATATGATTGCTTCATGCCAAGTACGCTTAATTTTAAAGTTCTTACAATTGAGCCATTAAGAAGAAAAATACACTTGATCGATATCAGTAGTTATTACCAATTCTTCTAAAACATTTCTTAATCATGCAAATCCATCTCATTCTCTAATGTTTTGGAACTAAACCTCCCAGTGAATCTCTACTTCAAACCCAAATAACTTATCGACCTCAACTTCATAACCATTCCTTGTCGAGCAGTATCAAACAAACATCGATTCAAAACATTCATTGACTTATGTTTAGGCCAACAAGATAATTGATCTTATCGTTAGAACACTTTCGAGTTAGGTTGGATGAATTGTATGTTGTATAAATAACACATTTTGGGTGGCTTATCTATGTGTTATTAATTGTATAATGTAATTTTTATGATCTTCCTCTTATGCATGTACTTCTAGTATGTCAATTCATCAGGTATGTTATGATATCATGTTTGTTTTATGTCTTATTCAATACTTGATAATTCATGTATGATGAACAATGAATTATATGTCATGAACATGTATGTATGTCTTATAGGAAGGTTATGTCATGAAAAGTATGTAAGTTTGATGTGCATCATAACAACGTACCATGATTTGAAAGTGCAAGACCTTGTACATGTTGTATATCATGAGCAAGAGATACTTCTCTAATATATTTTGTACGAACCCTTGCTCCAGGATATGCTACGTGCTCCATTCTTTTTGTTGGTTTCCAATAGTGCGAGCATGTGGTACCCCTTTGTCAAGCCTATGGAGTATGTATACGAGTCTACCTAGTAGGCTCATGGAAGCAAAGTTACAACTTGGGAAAGATGTTGAAGGAAGTTACGAGTCTTCCTATGAGGTCGAGTTCATGGCAGCAATTGCAACATCGTGTCAAACATTATGGCTGAGAAATTTGTTGAGCGAAGTGACCAGAAGTGAGCTACAGCTGGTAACCCCCTACGTCGGTGACAAATTTGTGATTGCATTGAAGAAGAATTTGGTATTTTACGGACGTAGCAAACAAATTAACACTTGCTTCCACTTCATTCGTGAGTGTGACGAGAAGAGACAGATGGTTGTGGAGTTCTTATGAACCAAAGAGGAACGTGCGGATATTCTCATGGTGGCAAGGGTTGAGTTTATAGAGATGCAGGAGTAGTTACTGAGAGTGAAGAATCTCGAACAAAATAAAGCTTCTAACCCCGAGACTGTGAACCAATAACTTTGACTCAGTAAAAGAAATTACTTAGGGAGCAATTTTAGGAGTGTTGGGATTTATGACCTAAACCTAGTACATAATTATTTAGTTTTTAACGATATCTTTATTATTTTATTTGTAATTTAATTGTTATCTATGGTATGAAAATCCAAGATTATTAATGTAATCTTGAACGGTATATAGTCGACATACATGAGGATTATGTTCAATTAATAACCTAAAGAGTCTATAGTATATGGATAAAGTTGGGTGTCTGGTAACACTGTTGGTACGGCCCACTTTGTAATGGTTATAAATGATTTGATCCAAATTTTTCATGTGGAAACCGGTAAGCGGGGGTATCCAATACTATGAGTTTGTATAAGACTGGACCAAGAAATATTTAATCTTTTTTATTAATCCGTTAATTGAGAAGATTAATATTTTACATGATGATCATATGCGACTCGATCTTAATTCTGAGTGAGTTATGAACTCGTACCTTTGAGGACATGTCCTTTAATTTAAGTGGGTGAGAATGACTCTTCTTTAGCCAATTCAATATGCCTACCATTTGGAAACTTCACCAAATAGGGAATTAGGAACATAATATCAGTAGATGGAATTCACTTATTTCCATATAAGAAAAGTAGATGAGTTGTTCTTTTAAGTACTGATTTCGGGACTTGAACAATGGGCCCCACCCTCTCATTGGCCCGAGAGGGACTTAGTTTATGATTGGATCATAAACAAATTGTTCATTAGAGAATCAGTGAAATTAAGGTGAAAGATGTAATTACAGGGGTAAAACAGATTTTTGACCCAGTTGCAATTATGAACAACTCGTGAAGGATTGACTTCCTTGTAATGGTTATATCAAAAGACATAACTTATCCTACCGTGCGCAAGAGTGCAACTCTAGATCCATAGTGGAGTGGCTTATAGTTAATGAATGAAAATGGATTAATTAAATAGATTAATTAATTAATTTTATATCATTGGAACTTATAATCTATAGGATCCCCTTGCTAACTCGCACTGACACTAAAACGTTTAATTTTCTGAATTTATTTGAAAAAAATGTAAAAACTTGAAATGTCAAATTAATATTTAATATATTATATATACTAAATAAATAGACAAAATATATTTAATTTGAACGTTCAATTTTCAGAATTTATTTGAAAAAAATGTAAAAACTTGAAATTAATATTTAATATATTATATATATTAAATAAATAGAGAAAATATATTTAATTTGAAAAGTTCAGATTAATATTTAATATATTAAAGAAGTTAAATATAAATGGAGAAAAATATATTAATTTGAAAGGATCCATTAATATTTAATATATTTAATATATTAAAAAATATATATTTATTGTATTTACAATTAAATATTAAATCAATTAATGTAGTTGATACATTTAATAAAAATATATTTGAAATTTGAATGATATTCAAATTAATTAAATATACATTAGGATATCTTACAATATCTAAATATGATTGGTATAAGATATTATATTCTAATATATTAAATATCACAGTATGTTACTTGACAAAAATTCTTTAAGAGTCCCTATAAATAGGATCTTTAGGTTGAACCAAAGACATACCAATCTCTTCCACTTTCCGTGGAGAATGAAATTACATCTCCAGAGAATTCTCGAAACTATTTGTCTAATCCCTTTGGGATTTTCTTTCAAAAGCCTCCAACAAGCCTTGACCTTGTGTTCGAGTCATAACAAGGAAGATCTCGTGAAATGTTGAAGAACTCTTGCATGGTTGAATACTTCAAACAGTCATGCAAATTAGGGCGAATTTATTGTTTTTCTTTTTTCTAATTCTTTAATAAAATCAAAACAATTCCCAAAGCTCCGGATAGGTGGATGAAAAAGTTCATTCCCTTCAAAGAGAATTATTAGTAGTTCCCAAATTGTGGAATCGGTTTAGCGATTTATTAAAGAGAATTGTTAGTATTTTTGAAGCTTTAAATGTTAAAGTTTTCTCCAATGTAAATACTCACAAGATGTATGTTCCATTTACAACAACAAAGAGAATTGAAGACATAGTCTTTAAAGTTGTTCGGTTCAAAGGATCTCTTCCATCAAGTTATTCTTTCTACTTTATTCGATTGTTTCAGTATATTATGATCGTGGGTCAAAATGAACTGAATACGTCAAATAAGTCAAGCTGAAGTCATCGAGCCAACTGCAAGTTAAGTGGAGTCGAGATGCGAACCACAACTGGGGTCAGCTAGGTTGGGGCGCATGCATTGGAGGCAGCTGGGGTCAGTGTTACGTGTAATAGCTTAAAATAAAATAATAAATAAAAAAAAATTAAAAAAAATTAGCACGTCACAATGGAAACTTTTACTAGTTCACCTGGTCAACCGAACAAAAGTTAATGAGTTATCAAAGTTTGGACGGCCGTTTGACTTGGGTACAAAGGACAAAAATCAAACTTTTATTAGAGATAAATTGGTGACATCAACCTAAGTTAATTAGGTAAGTGGACTTACTATCGACATGATTATATTTTATGTTGACATGTGTCCCATGGTTCTGTATGTGTCATATATATTGATATGTGTGAATTGTTTATGAATCAATATGATTATGATATGATGTGTATATGTTATGATATGTGAATTGTATGATAACACTTACGATACGATGTATTATATGATAATTTTGAGATAGGATACGAGAAGGATGCGATAAACGTTATGTAATGATAGGACTAAGATTTGTTCATAAAATGTTATGGTTAGGTTATGTATCGAAATGATATGGTTATAATAGATTGGCAAAACAATACGATAAGGTTATGTATAGAAAATACTATGGTTATGATAGATTGATAAAACGATACGATAAGGTTATGTATAGAAAACGATATGTTATGATAGATTGACAAGACGATACGATAAGGTTATGTATAGAAAACACTATGATTATGATAGATTGATAAAACGATACGATGTGATTATGTATAGAAAACGTTATGGTTATGACAGTTTGAATAAATGAAAAAAGATAGGATTATGATAGACTAGTGAGATGATATTGTTAGAATAAGTTTAGGAAACGATATGACCAGGATATGTATATGGAACGATATATGTATATATACATATCGTAATATAATATGAGAATGATATGATATATGTTATGGTACGATATATTTAATGAATTGATATAATTACGATAATATATGTTGAAGACACGTCTGGGATATACTATGTGATTGTTATGATTTAGGGTTTATTATGATATGTGCATGATGTGGATTGTTATGTCCGAGAACATGTAAATGTTATGATATGATATATGTTGACACGAATGATATGATAGACATGCGAAATGACAAACTAGCATGAAATACAACCCCAACCTACGCATGAGAATTATGATAAATGTTATGAGAAATATTATGACAAAATGACATGATATGAAGGAAGACGCTAGCGGGGTTGTATTAAATGATAATGAAAATTTTAAGAAAAAAAATGTTGGGACCTCAGGCATAATTTCGTTCTTTTACTGAAATTTATGCCGATATACTTGAATAAGAATTGGATCCCAACGATC